AAACCAAAACCTACATCTTTTGAGGAGTGTGAAGTCAGTTGCCAATGTGACATCTACGTGGAAGTCACCAGTTCGGATCTACATCAAAGCGATGCTCTTTTGAGTGGATACTGAGCGAGGCCTCGTGACTGTCTCACTTGTTCAATTCGATTTTTCAAAGGTTCTGAGCCATAGTTGCACACTTTATATGTAAAAGTCCGCTTTAGTCCAGCATGTTTCGTAGTATGAGCCTCATATGAGTCTCGCGGCAAATCATACAATTTCTTTATAGCACTTACATCCCTAAATTTTCGTGTGTGATCGGAACATATTGTTGCCGTTCACATGGGGGGTGCGAATGGAAGTGCAGCGACACGTACAGTGCAACTTGTACATATATATGTACCATATGTACTTTGGCTCAAGGATCAAGCGACTAGAAAAGGTGCGGTTTCCGTTCCGACGCTACGCCGCTTATGGACCGTCAGTGATAGCTTCAAACTTCGCTGATTAAGATCCACTCGCAGAAATTAATAGGAACCAAAAGGAGTTTAGAACGAAATCGAAGGAATCAAACGGATCATATTGAAAGGAAATCAGTGGGAACCAAGACAAATCCGCAAGGAATCAATAGGAATCAAAAGAATATGTTTCATAGGAATCCAATAGGGGCTGGCATATAACCGTTCAACCACCTGCAGGGTATATAACATAGAACGCGCACCCTGACCATACCAACCTGAGAATGTATACAGTATACATGGGTGTTCGTATGTATACATATAGATATACATACACAACTCAGAAACCAGCAAGGAAATCAAACGGAATCAACAGGAGTTTAAACGCAAATCGGTAGGAGTCAAAAGGACATTCAACCGAAGTCAAAAGGAATGAAAAGGCACGTATAAAGGAAATGAAAAGGAATCAAGAAGTTCGATTCAAACCAATAGGAATCAAAAGGATTTTACAGGCTACCACTTGAAACTTTCAAAACAAATCAATAGGAATCAAAACATTTCAAAATCATTCACTCACCTGTCGAACATATAACATAGAACATGCACCATGGCCATGCCAACCTGCGAATGTATTGGGTGTGTTTATATATAAGTAGGCGATCAATTGGAATGAAAGGGAAGCCAGAAAGAGAATCAATAGAAATCAACAGGAATTTACAAGGGCATATAGGGGAATTGCCTTTTTGCAAAGGACATCAATAGGAACATTAAAGGGAAGTCATGAGGATTTAAAACGTTTAAAAGGAGATCAATAGGAATCGAAGGAAATTAAAAGGACATCAATAGGAATTTGCTTAAATTCATTCAATCACCCGCAGAACCTTTAGCATAGAACATGCACCATGACCATAGCAACCTGAAGATGTATCATATTGTATAAATATATATATATATATACATTTTTGAGTAGGAAGCCACTAGGAAGGCACAAAGAAAGTCTAAAAAGGACATCAATAGGAGTCGACCGGCATTTAAAACGAAACCAACAGGAATCCAAAGGATAGTTAAAAGGGAATCAACCGGGTTCAACCAAATTGAAGCATTGCAAGAAATCAATAGGAATGAAAGGGATCTTAAACGGACATCAATAGGAATCAAGAGGAACCCAAAAGGAATCAACAGGAATCAACAGAAATTCAAAGGGAAATCAATAGGAATGAATAGAATTTTAAAGTTGATCGATAGGAATGAACAGGCATTTCCAAATTTGGCTGCCCATGCGCGGAAGTCTGGAGCCGGCACACTCGAGGCCGAGTTCAACATGAAGAGAAAACGATACAAATATTGCAGACTGAGCTTCCAAATTGATTGCCATGACGACCAACAAAACGTGGAGCCCGTGCACTTGTAGTTCCATAGACCCCCCAAACAACGAGTGAGGCGCTGCCGGGCCTCAACCAACACACAACCACAAACGGAACCACAAACACAGCCACAAACACAAAGTCACAAACATAAGCGCAAACACAACCACAAACACATCCACAAACACAATCACAAACACACGGCCACAAACACAACCACAAACACAATCACACAAACACAACCACAAACCCAAACAGAACCACAAACACAAAGTCACAAACATAAGCGCAAGCACAACCACAAACACAATCACAAACACACGGCCACAAAAACAAGCACAACCACAAACACACCATCACAAACACAACCACAAACATAATCACGAACACACAACACACAACCACAACCACAAACACAACAAACACACCATCACGAACACAACCACAAACACAACCACAACCACAAACACACAATCACAAACACACCATCACAAACAACCACAAACAGAATCACAAACACACAACAGACAACCACAACCACAAACACAACAAACACACCATCACGAACACAACCACAAACACAGCCACAACCACAAACACACAATCACAAACACACCATCACAAACAACCACAAACAGAATCACAAACACACAACCACAAACACACAACACACAACCACAACCACAAACACAACAAACACACCATCACCAACA